AGGCAGAAAGGCCACAATCAATTATCATGTCTTCTTGTCCATTTCAGCTTATTCTTAATTATGTTCATTGGGTTTGGGGAAGGAGGTATTTCAGCCAAGTTTTAGAAAAAGGGAGCTATTTTGTTTGGAATGGGCAGATCTCCCCTCCTAAACCACTGCATTCATCTGCATCATCCCGGGTGTCCCATGGGATGGCCATATCAGAAGACAGAGACATTGGACTGGACAGAACGTACTGGAAAGCATTTCTTATAGGCACCGAGTGAAGGGCACAACATCATCAAGCATTTCCCTTAAGGGCTTTTCCTGATGCCAGGGCCCCTCTTGTTCCAACCACCAGTGGCTTGGTGCTGTTCTCTGGCATCACCCTCTCTGGACGTCCTGTAAGTCTCCAGGCCCAGGCACTGGCTGAGCGCCGACTTACCATCTGTATGTCAACTTTCTCATACACGTGCATGCTCCCCAGTGCACACATGTGCACATGCTGAACTCTCTGCCATAATTAACTATTTAAAATTCCACTGCTGCTAATCAAAGCAGCATGGGCTGTGTTCTCATTAAGGAGATCAATTCCTGTTGAATATTCACCTCCAGGGGTGGATGTGGTCGGAATGAGCTGATGGTTTCTGTCTGGCTCGCCAGAGCTAATGCGTGGTTGCTGCCATTGCAACAAAGCCACTCTGCTGTAATCAGTCAAAATAACAAGCAACAGCTCCTTGCAGGGATGCTGGGTGTTCTACATAAATATACATAGAAAGACAGTTTCGAAAACGGCCTGCCCATCTCAATGAGCCAGGCCTGAGGTGTGACCTCCCAGGGCTGGAAATGGATTGCCAGTTCACCTCAGTCTGGAATCTCAGATACATCTGTCTTCCCATCCCTCTCTTCCCCACAAACACTGGGCCCAGCAGTCTGCTACAGAGCACTTCAAACCTTGTGCTGCCTCTGACCCAACTGGTTTCTACACTATAGTACCTTTGTCAAGAGGATTGCCCCATTGGAAGTGTCCTGAGAAGGAGGGGCTGTCTGTGACCCTAGGAGTGCTTTTGGTAGTGGTTTCCTCTGCCCAGAGCTGCCTGCACTGCATAGCAAGCAGCTAGGACTCTCTCCTCCTTTCCTTTTCTGGGGACTTGCAGTTAGAGTAGCGGCCAAAGGGTGATGCTCCAGATGGAGAAAAATAAACCACACTTCTAAAGCTCTTGGCTGGCACCTAGGGACATTAGAGGGTAATTTTTCTGAGCTAAGAGTATGCGAACAAACAACTTCAAGGTCCAAAAAGTACTTAATGGTATGGAGAAGCAAGGCTTTTCTTTTAAGATTTGCGCCCATGCACACCAATTGCAACATATCCCATTAAGAAATTTTCTTTTTCTTTCTCCAATGTTTTTTTGGAAAATCTTGTATTACTGACCTGAGGAAGGAATGGGTTTTAATCCTTTTCCCCAATCCACCCAAATTGGCATACAGGGGCCCCTGTGTACATTGTTCTAACCAACATCATAGGACATTTAGCCAAAAATGCAAAAATATATCCTCGCTCATTCGTTGATGTATTCATTCTTATGTCTAATGTAGAACTCACTCCTTATTTTATTCCTTAGGTCATTCAATAAACATTTATCAAGCACCTGTCAGGGACCAGATATTAGTAATTGAGAATCCATGGTCCTCATGGGGGCTTACAGTGTAGTAAGAGAATACATTTATGTAAATGAATTAACCGACTAGCGTGCAGAGGTCATTGACTTGTGATATGGAAATACTTTTTCCCAAATTTTTAAGACAGAACATTTTCTTAGAAATAATTATAACTCCAGAGAGTAAAGAGGCTATATTTATTAATAGTCTCAGAAGGCAAATGGTGACCCCAAAAGAGAGCCCTCAGTTATGTGTCCAGTGAAGGCGATCTGTTGTACAATCCATTTTCCTGTAATACATCCCAGCTCCCAAGCTGAGGATTCAGTTGTCCCATGTGGTCAGCTCAGTTGTAGATAAGATTTACTCAACAGCAATTAGGTTTCTGCATCTCAGCTGGAGAGAGGATAATCAAGTGAGCAGGGAGCACATGGCTTTCTCCATTTGCCACATGCAGGAAGGAGAAACTCTTTCACTTAAAGGTATGAGCCACATGTCATTGGAGAAAAAGTGGTGATAAGTGGATGTCATTTCTAATCTTGCCTTTCATGGACAAGGCTGGGGACAGTAAGGAAATGGGAAATGGCATCTGGTGCCACTCAGCACTCCAGCTCACCCATCCTTTGATCCTTATCAGCCATTAGGAAAGGTAATTAAGCCAGCGTCCTGCTCACACAGCCGCTACTGAGCTGGTCAAATATAATCTGTATCCAGTGCACACAGCAAAATAGCACCACCTGAATCATTGGCATCAGGGGACGTTTAAGTGTCTACTTGTCCATGGTCCATGACATGACAACATTGCGGGCCCTGTGCTGGAGAACTGAGCAGACCAAATGCTTACTCTGCTTTCTAAGCACTAGTGAAGATCTGAATGCACATGGATAGGTCAAAGCACAGTGAAGCAAAACCAGTAAACTAAGCCATATACAAGAGAAAGGTACTGGCATCCTACGGAAGACTGAGTCAATGGATTGGTTGGGTATGGGGAAAAATCTGGGTTGCTAATTAGCAGTAGGACCTGGGAGGCTCATCATGTGATCTCCTGATATGGGCTGGCAATTTCCTTGCTGATCGAGATGGCAAGCATTCCCAGCTTTCAAGAGATGTCCAAATGATCAGAAAAAAATGACTTCATACAACAAACACTTGAAAGAAATCACCTATAAATCTTGATGGCAAATTCCTCTGAAGGGGAACTTAATGGATGAACTTATTCTTGCCTATGCATGCCTTTCTGTTTTCTTATTTTGGTTTTTAACCAGCCGACATATTTTTAATATTTATAATGTGCTATCTACCAAGTTGGAGGAAAATATCTAGATAAAAATTAATCATAAGGGGTTTAAAGATAAATCTCATTTTTTTCCACTTTATCTGTGGAATAAAAATGCTGATACTAACTGACATTTAGTTCTTACTGTGTGGCAGATACTATGATAAGCACTGCACGTAGACCATCTCATTCAGTCTTCAAAGAGCCTAAGAGATAGGTTCGATTGTCACTCTCTTCTTACAGACGAGGAAACAGAGGCACAGAGGTTAAGCCACCTGCCTAAGTTTACACAATCAGTAAGTGATGAAGTGAATTAATGTAACCTCCTCTTTGAGGTTTACCCATTATGCCCAGACAGTCATTCTTCCATATTTGGCTTTTTGCAGTTAAGAGAGACAGAAACAAGGGCTTTGAAAGGAGTGCTTACGAGCTGGGATCATCACAGCAATACAGAAGATGCTATTACAGTTCAACCTGCCTGTGGATGAAGGGCAGGCACACGTTTGTACACCTAGTGCATCCCTTCAGACTTGTCTAGTCAATTTTGTCCTTCTTTTATTTTTGGGGGGGAGAGATAAATGAGACTTTGCTTCTTATATGGGTTATCTTTTTGAGATAGCATGCTGAATTACCACCGGGTACAGTGGTTGGGGATTTGGGTGTGGAGCCCTTCATCACACTGGTGGTGGTTAGGTCAAAGGGCCTAGCCCCACTCCAATCTAGGCATCTGTAACTGTCTTCTTAAAATAGATTTGGCTGGATGTTCACCTCCTCCTGGTGTCCTGAACTGTGGTTTAGCTGAGCTGTGTAGCTAGACAGCCGCTGTGTCTCGCCTCCAGGCTAGGTGATGGATTTCTCCATACAGCATTATTACGTCTGCAAGGCACTTCTCGATGCTCGAGGATGAAAGGAGTTATAAATGAAAGATATTATTATTAATAAGAATGTAGATGAACAAAGGGAAAATGTACTCGCCCTCACTATCCATCACCTCACCACACTTCACCTAAAGACCATGATCTGCTGGAGCCTCAAGGAAAACCTATTTGCAGAAATCAATAACTGGTTTTAAAAAATAGATCTAGGCTCCACTGGAGCTGACTATTCAGGGGTTTCTCATAATTCTATGCAACAGTCAATATTAGCTATCACTGCCTCAAATAAAGATTGAATTCGAATTTAGTTAAGACTAGTTTTGTATGCTAATCTACCAACTGATTATTAAATGTATTTACTGAGAGTTTTATAAAATGGGCTGTGAGGGGGAAAAAAAGAAAAGAAAAAGAAAAGCCTGCGTGAGTTTACTTGATGTGAACTATGACGCTAACTCCTAGCGATGGGCTCACATTAGCTTGGTTCTCCCGGTTTTATAAAATTAATGCTTGGGGAAGTCAAGTTTCATTCTGTGGGTGGCAGGGAGAATTGCCATTCTAAACATCATAAGGTGAAGGAAGAATAACCATCACCGAGTCAGTCAGTTGGCAGCATTGACTGAGCACCCACCACTCTGCACAGAGGCCCAGAGCTAATTGTGCAGAATGTTAAGTTGGTTATCATTAGGTATGAAAGAGAAAGGAGCAAACACCTCCATTCCTTGGGATCATTATGGTCCATGGGGAAGCAAAGAGGAATGCCAACTCACATGAGTAAGTGTGAAAGAAACCTATATAGATAAGTTAGGGACACCCCATGCTGTTTTACAGGGGACAGAAGGTGGGGAGGGTGGGACAGAGGATTCAGCCAGGTTGGTAGCAAGGAAGAGAAAGTAAAGGAAGGCTATTAGAGCAAATGTGTTGAAGGGTTTGGATAGAAGTTAGGAACATGTTTTGGGAGGGATGTGTTCTTACCAAGTGAAACAGTGTACATATCCACTACCCTTTAACTCATCAGAATGCGAGCCTTCTGGAGAGGTGTAAATACAGAAGAAATGCAGGTGGAGTACACACAGAGAAGAGGAGCAGATGCTCACAGGGAAGAGTGGGTTGGATTTTACAGTCAATAAGATGTAAGGTTTAAGAAATGTTATTTGCCTACTATAATATACTCTTTGCACGTAATTCATGTACAACAAAGAACTACATATGACTTCTTGCTCTGTGAATATTTAATTGCAGCTTGCAAAACATGTCAAGCAAGTCTCATACTTTCCCCGGACAATTCTGGTAGTGGTGAAGACATTTCATCAATAAAGTATTCAGAGGAGAGTTCTCATGACATGCTTTTTTGCCAGCCCTCCAACATTTGAAACTGGGTTGCCAAGGCCATTTGTCAAAGACCTAGGTGCAAAATCACCTTCTAGAACTCAGTTCTATCACTGCCATTGGTGACCTGGTGAGAAAAAGAGACTGATTTCATGCACTTTCTATACCAGTGATCCTTCAAACTAGAGTGGAAAAAGCTCATCTAGAGCACAGATTTTAAATATTCAGATTCCTGAACCTACTCTGTTCAGGCCCTGTGAATTTACATTTTATCACATAACCCTGATGATTCTAAAGTAAGCAATACTCAAACTCTACTTCAAGACACACTTGTAGGTTGATGTGTTGAAGTCTCTATGCAGAATATGCATAGATGAGCCTATAGCTCATTTCCCTCCATAGAGAGAAAAATGGGATTGATTTGGGTGTAATTAGAATATTAGGCTCCAATATACAACCCAGCGGTAAGCATAAATATATAAATATGGAGTGACTCATTCTATAGTTCACAGCAATGTAAATGATTGTTCCTTGAGCAAATGTATGCAGTCTCTTTCCACTTGGGAATTGCACTTCTAAGTATTGGGACTGTTTTCAATGTTGGCATTTTTGAGGGTGATTACAGCTATGATGAATTTCTTGATTATACAGCTTCATGTCTATTGGCTTAAAACTATTGCTGGGCAAAGGTACTCTCAAAATGTGTGGTTCACATGGAATTTGGATAACTGTAATTAAGAATTTATGGGCCTTAACTATTTGGTAAGTCAGTCAATAGGCTCTCTCAGGAACACTGGATTCTTCATTTGAAAGTAAGGCTAGAAATTGGAAAAGAGGGGGTGATTTGGGTATCTTTGTTCTTTTTAAATTTGATTTTTTAATATATTATTGTTTTCCTCATTGGGAAAATATGCTACAGCTTTCTGTTGTACATAATAACTCCCAGGAAATACGGCCTATCTGAATAATTATTTTGTTTTAGTAGCCTTTAAAATGGTGAAAAATTGTGGGGCACCTGGGTGACTTAGTTGGTTAAGCTTCCAACATTGCCTTAGGCCATGATTTCGTGGTTCATGAGTTTGAGCCCCCATCAGGCTCTGTGTTGACAGCTTGGAACCTGGAGACTGCTTCGGATTCCGCAACCCCCTCCCTCCCTCCCTCTCTCTCTCTCCCCCTCTCCCTCTCCTCTGCCCCTCCCCTGCTCATTCTCTGTCTTTCTCTCTTTTTCAAAAATAAACACAAACAAAATAAAATGGCAAAAACTTGTAATCTCTAATGTTTTGAACCAGATCATAGAAGTGGATTGTAGAACCTCCCCCCCCACACACACACACACTCAAATAATATATTTAAAAAAGGAAAAAGTGGATTTGGGAGTTTTGGCTTATTCAAGGGGTAAAACATTTTATCAGATTTTTGGAAAATGACCCACTGTAATACAAAAATTTGTGGTCATCTGAGTGATGACTGAAGACAGCTGTCTTGCCTCTTCTTTAGAAAAGCCTGGGAACACCTGAGTGGCTCAGTCTTGATTCCAGCTCAGGTTATGATCTCACAATCCTGAGACTGAGCCCTGCATCAGGCTTCTCACTGAGTGTTAAGTCTGCTTGAGATTCTCTCCACCCCTCTTCCCGACTTCAGCTTCCTCTCTCTCTCTTTAAAATAAAAATTAAAAAAAAATTACTTTCTAGAAAAGCCCATTTGTATACTAGTTTCTCATCAGCATTCCCTATTAGCTCCCAATCTCAAACTGGGTATCTGGATATAGTAGATTTTGTCTTGCCTGCATGCTTTTCCCCTTGTTTTTCTACCTAGAAATCTCTCTTCTCCAAATATCTAAATCTGGTCTACACAAAGCCTTCCACTTAAGGTCCTACATTTTCACAGTGCTTTCTCTCATGACCTGCCTATCACTTACTGTGTCTGTTTTCTGGATTCTTATGTGTTTAGTAGTAATTAATTTTAAATAGTTCAAAAAAAATAAATAGTTCAATCAGTTTATATCTTTTCAGGACTGTATTATGCCTGTATGTGTTTATTTGTGCTTTTTATTAAAAAATACTGATTTACAATAAATTGATTTTTCATATTCTTACTTAATAGGTAGTATGGACAAATATATTAGAGTGCCCTGATATACACAAAGTTTATGAGATACATCATTAACCTTGATAAATTCTAATTTTCATTTTCATATCATGAACCTTAAAAAAAATTTCCCATGGTAGGAAATTGTAAGAGCTCAGCCAGGTCACAGAGGGAAAATGGGAACTTAGGATTGAGGAATCAGTAGCTACAATGCCTGAGTATAGTAGAGCATCAAATCTCAGCTCTACTACTTACTAGCTGTGTGATCCTAGGAAAGTGACATAGCCTCTCTGTGCCTCAGGTTTATGGTGACCATTTGTCATCGTTTGCCTTGGGACTTCCACAGTTTTAACACTGAAAGTGTCATGTTCCTGGGTTTCCCTCAGTCCCAGGCAAACCATAATGGATGTTTGCCTTGGCATTTTCATCCCCTGTATTTCATGTAGGAGATAATAATAATGATACGTATCCCATGGGGTTGTTATGAAATAATCCCTAGGTGCTAAGAAAGTACTGAGTGAAATTTCTCTCTTCTTATATGACTTAGGTTCAATACGGGTTAAAATCAAGCACTTGCCAGAGACTTGCTGGTCAAAGCAAAATGAAGAATTGACAGTGGTCTTAACTCACAGGATTTGCACAGCTGGTACCTTAAGTGCAAAAACACTTCCCTTCAACAGAGCTTCTCCCTGCAGCCAAGGCAGTGTTACCCAAGCACCTCTGCAGGGTCTGTGGTGTCCTGGGCCATGCCATCATTGAGTCCATTCGTCAGCACACAGCCAGCCCTCGGCATGGGCTGACAGGGGCCAGAAGTCCCAACCTCCCCTCATGGTGGTCTGCAGGGAAGACCTATTCACAGCGCGCTGACTGACCTCTGTAGAGCTCTGCATGGCTACAGAGCACTTTTCCACGTGGCATTCCAGTCTTCCCATAAATTCTGTGAGGGAGGCAGGGAAGACATTAGTTATCCTAATTCCTCAATGTCTCGTACATTGTCACACAGCAAGAAATGATGGAAAGGGGATTAATATTTACAGATTTTGGGCTAGTGTGTGTGTGTGTGTGTGGTGTGCTGTGAAGAGTATCTGTGTTTGGTGTGTATGTCTCTGTGGTATGTGTGAGGGGCATATGGGGTGTGCGGATGTGTGGTATATGGTATGCATTGTGTGTACGAGGGTGTTGGAATGTGTATGTATGGTGTGTGTGCTACGCATGTGGTGTATGGTGTGCAGTGTCGTGAGTGTGTGTGCTGTGGTTTGTGTGTTGTAGAATATAGTGTGTGTGGTTTGTGTGTGTGATGCATGCTGTGATGTGTGTGTGTGTGTGTGTGTGTGTGTGTGTGTGCGCTTCATCTGCATGCCAATCAAAGCCTTCCTTGGGTAAAGGAGGCTTATGGGAGATTCATAAATCTGGAGTCAGAATTTAACAAATGTGAATATGCTTTTACAAATCCTTCATGTAGTGAATTAATTTAAAAAAAAAAAACAAGAAAAAGGGAAAAATAAAAAGCTACTCTTTAGCTACTTGAGGGCTTAGCCCCTCCTTCAGGTACAAAAGTGAAGTTTGAAGAATTTATCTGTGAGCTATAAAATCTCCCACATCTCTCCTTAACCAGTGATTTTTTTTTTCCTACTCGTATCTCTTCCAATTTAGCACCATTTATTGTTATACTTCTAGAGAATCTGGTTTCTTATAAGGGTTGCACTTCAAGTGTCCGTTAGAGAAAAAAAATTCTAAGACCTACGAAGTATTTTACTACTGGCAGAACATCAGGTCGGGTAAGAGACTACAAAGGACGTATTTGGAGAGGTGCTTTTCTATACCACTCTCTCCTCCAGGTAGTTGCCAAAAGCCAGTTCTTGTTTCATCTTCTCACTAGAAACTTCCTCAGATAATTATCCTGTCCAAATCCCCTCATTCATTCATTCTGACAAGAATCTTCACATAACTTCTTGTGAGACGCACACATTTATAACGTGTTTGTAACAAGTGTGCAAGTTTTAATTATTTTGTGGGGTATGTGTGTGTGTGAGAGAGAGAGAGAGAGGGAGATTTCTGGGTGAGCCCTGTGAATACCTAGCCCTCCATGCAGCTGATAATGCTCACTTAATGTCTATAGCAATCTAAATAGGAAATGCTATTATCTTCATATTACAAAGGGGATGAAGCACAGAGAGGTGAAATAAGTCAGTCAGGCTCCCCATAATCTTAAAATGAGACACCGGGATTTGGGCCCGGGAGACTGGCTCCAGAGACCTGTTCCTGACAACAGGGGCAGATTTGGAGACTGGTGCCTTTGAAAGTCTTCCAAGGTGGATGAACTTTCTGAATGTAACAACAACCTCATACCAGGTCATGCTCTCATCAAGGTCTCGGGGCTAAAGAGGCCTTAGACACAGTGAATAATGTGCTCTTAAAGGCAAATAAAGTCCTTGAAACACTAGGTTACAGCAGTTATATTCAAAAGTCTACAAAGTGTATAAAAATGTGTGACTCACATCTCATCTTCCAGGTCTCTGAGCTTCATTTCCTAATTTGTAATGTAAAGACAGGGCCCTCTACCCATGTATGTAACAGAACCATCACGGAACTCCAAGAACCCATGTTGAGGTCATAACAGTAAAGTACAAAATAGTATTAATATTCACAACAGCCATAAAGCAATGCAGCATATAAAATTCAGCCTGCTGCTTCATAAATTTTACCTACAATTGATATGATAGCTATATTATTCATTAAACGTTTAATTAGCAAGACTGTTCTTTTTGGATTTAAAAGAGTTATTTGGAAGATGATTATGATAGTCCGGGCCTCTTAAAAAGCTATCCAAGAAAGTTTGAACTCCTGCCTCCTTTTTCCATAATACATTTCTCTCTACTAAGAAGAGGTATCAAAAAACATTCCATTAACCTTTGCACTGTGCTCAAAGTTTGGGCTCTTCTTTTTTTCAAAGAAAGTATTATAGTAACTACACATTGAACGTTTCGCTAGCTTCTATTAGAGAAGGTCCTTTGCCTGTTGCCTTATCCCCACTATCTGTAGGGTAGCTCGAGTAGCATATAAATTCTGAAAAGTGACCTTAATGTCATCTCCATAAGGCAAGGGGTCTGTTTAAAGGATGCCTATGTAGTCAGTACTTAGCACAGTGTTTGGCATTTAATAGGTGTTCAAGTATACCTCTTGAAGGACTAGACAGACAGATGGATGGATCTGGAAGGATGGATGAGAAGCTTCCAAAGAGCAAATATAGTACTAGAATGCATAGCCATAGCTTTTGCTTCAGTGATAGTTGCTGAGAAGTATAGGGAAGTTTTGGAATGATCTGAACTAATAATACAGGGTAGTATGACAGGGAAAAAAAGGTTTTTTTCTCCCATTTATTTCCTCTCTGAATCACAGCCTGGTCAGAAACATTAGAACCAAGCTTTCAAGTTAGCACTCCAAGACCTCTTAAAAAGTATTAAAATACAGGTATCTATTTAGTACCAAGGGAATTAATATTTATTGAGTGCCTACTTTATGCCAAACACAGTACTTTGTTTTTTATGTCTGTTAACTCATTTAATCTTCAGCCTTATGAGGGAGAAATTATCATCATCATTTATGTTGAGCTAAAAGAGATAACATTCTCTGCCCAAGATCACACAGTCAAAGATGGTGAGAGTGGGGATCCAGTAGTTTTTTTGCCCACCATCCCCTTTTTCATTCTGCTCTGAAAATGCAGACTTCCTCTTGTCCTTTCCTGTTCATTGGGTTCTGGTGGGACTAGGCCTCTTCTAGACAGAACAGAGGTCATATGACCTGGACCTACTTAGTCAGATTACTAGTCTCTCTGGCCCAAATGATTGACTCAACGTTGAGCATATGCCCCAAATCTGACTGATCAGACAACTCCCTCACTTTCCCCCTTCCATAATGCCTCAGCCTGATAGTTGTACCCTGCACACAATAGTGAGGTCCAAATCAATGCACCCATCCTGGACACTGCCTTCCCTGGTAACTCAGTCATCATGCAGGATGGGAAGTTGAGCCCAGCTCAGCATCCCTCATCCTCCTTTCAAATCAAAATAAGATTCACAAAAGAACCTAAATTGTCATACACTCCCATTGGTCTTGGCTGTGAAACCTTGCAGCCATATCATTTGGTGGCTAAATTCTCAAGTCTGTGTGAGAATATGGGGCAGGCGGTCCAGAACTAGCAGCAATAAATGGCCAAAAACTCCACTTCAGCATCTTCCTTTTCCAGCAATAATCCCCCCTCACATGTACAAGGTAGCTGCAGAACTTCACTCTCTTTTTAAACCAAGAACCTAATGCAAGATGTGAATTAAAAGCGACTCCCCTTGGACTCTCACAGCGGCTGGTATCTAACAGTTATCACCTGGTGCAGGCTCCTTAGCGACCAGCGCACTACTCTGACCATCATTTGGTGTTAAGTCAAAAGCTCAAATGCAGACATTTCTTCTACTTTCAAACAGCTGGAATTTCTGAAACATCCGCCTAGTATCCTACTGCTTCTCCGACTTCACCAATTCCCTCCCGAGGAGAATTTTATCTCAGAACTGCAGTGAGGATATGGAACATAAATATATATAATTACTCTACATTAATATAATTAGTCTGTCTCTCTCCTGATCCAGAAATGGTTGTCCATTTTTAGCTACTAATGGTTGGAATTATTTATGTCCATTTGTTCAAGGACTAAAACTGGAGTCATAAAAAAAGAACGTAGACATATTACCACAGAGAGGTCCCTTTCATCTTTTCCAACTCAGTGCTGTGGTCTGGGTTCCATCTCCTGCCTTCTTGGGAATTGAGTCTGGTAGTTTAGGGGAGATTAGATTCACACAAGGTACTCTGTCCATTTATTCTCTTTGATGAATTACCAGCAAGCTGACAAGACAAAGTGCCTTGGTTGTTCCTAAGCTGACAACTCCATCTCCACAGCAGAACCAGTGCTCCCGTCCTTCTGTGCATGAGGAGGGTCACATTCCAGAATAAATGCATGCCCCCTTAGGACTCTGAATTCATTATGTCTTCTCTACTGGTCTAGCTCCTTTGACTACTTGGCATCTCAGACATTCTAAAAATTACACATGTCATTTATATCCATATATTCTGAAATTAAAAAGTAGATGCATATGCATGTATTCTGAAATCAAAAGCAAAAGTAGATGTAAGAAGATAATCGTTTATAAATATCTTTTACTTACAACTTTCAGGGACTAAAGCTTCTCTTATAGTTTATACTGATCTTTCGACAATGGCTACCACATTGAACCCATTGTGCCTAGCGTTGTATTGTTTTGTACATATATCATTTCATTTCATTATCACAGATCAGTGAGGTGAAAATAAGTAAGCCCATTTTAGGAAAGAGAACACTGAGTCCAAAGCAAGTTAAAAAAAAAAAAAAAGAAAAACATGTGCAGCTAGTGATTACGGATGTGGAATCAGACAAATCTGAATTTGAATCCTATCTCTGCAATTTACCAGCTGTGTGGTCATGGGCATCAACCTCACAGCAAGACTGAGGTAGATATGGTATTACCACTGTAAGATCAGGAAACTGTCCTTCAGAAAATAATTAAATGATTTAATTTGCAGAGGACCAACTCACTAATACCAGCAAGATACAGCATAGCTAAATCTGCTTGTCTCCAAAAACAGGAATCTTAAACTGTCATCATCTTTTATTGCTTCCTTGATGCAAGGGGGAAAAAATGACTTAGTTGTGATTGAAATAAGTATAGCAATTAATTTGGGCATACTTCCCATCCAATAAGCGTGAAAGAGTGTGCTTGCCAATGAATGATTGCAACAGAGCTATTTTGAGAAAGGGGGTGGAAAGGATGTTCTTCCAGGAGGTAGGCCTGCTTTGGTCTGTCCTAAGGGCCTAGCATGCCTCTATCGCTCATCCTCAGTCTGGGTTCTCTT